TTCCTCCTCAGTTGTACCATGTACCTGACAAACCAAAACAGAAAATGCTTTTATCCCGGAAATCTTCCATATTATTTGGGGTGGAGGTAGGCTGCACATGAATTACTTGCTTGCACTTTTTTCGGTAGTGGCATGGGCTAAGTATACTCGCGATAAAATGTTTTAAAAATAGGATTTACTATGACTTCCACGGATCTTGGAGGAAGAAGGAAGGTGAAAGGGGAATTGAAATAATAAGGTCATAGTAAATTATTTTTTTGTTTAATAAAATTGGATTCCAATGGCAGGCAGCAGAGCACCATCCAGACAGGTTCAACTGGCAGTCTTCCAAAAGCAAGATGAAAGGTCCTCCGAGTAGTAATTGTCTAAATGGAACAGACTCTGGTTATTGTGCAACTTCTTCATCTACTTTATTGTACATTTATAATTAAATGATGTAATTCTGTTTTTTTTCCTTTCCCAGTGCAGGAAAGCATCTGAGCAACGTTGCTGTAGGATGGAGACAGACTCAGCAGCTTCAAGGGATTTTTCTGAGTCACCACAAGTCATACACAAGGAGTTGGTGAGCTGCTGGTTGCCAAAGCAGGACACAAATTCTGCCTTCTCCAGGGCATGAATGGACACTTACCTGCATTTCAACTCCGCCCGCTCAGTGGTGGAGGTGGTTGGCTCACCAGGATTTTTTGGTAGGGTGAGGGAATACCACTTTTGCTAAAAACTCAGTGGTAAACAGGTGAACAGTGGATCTAACAGGATCTTTAGAACACTATATTCAAAGGGGCATTATGTAGCAGGGCTATTTAATTCACAGAGGAGATTGGACGGACACCTGAGAGTTGGAAGAAGCTTATTGTGCTAAACAAACCCAGAGCCAGCATTTCCTGACTCTGCAAGGCTTTAGGGATCAGGAGTGGAACTCTGGTCCTGAGATGCTAAAAGGCTTGATCAGATGGAAAAGCAGAATCATAGGACCAGCCTTGCAAGGTTCTTCTGTACAAAAGTGCTTTCCCTCAGTCCAAGTAGCCTGTTCACAAGAATAAAGATTATCCAGGTGACTAAAAGTTAGCAAAACAGGGTCTTGGCTTTGCACATTCAACTCCAATAATTTCCTTATGGTCTGTAATGTCTGTTGTTTCTGGAGGTTTTTGTTGTTGTTGTTGTTTTTTCTCATTCATGGTAACAAAGAGAACAAATTAACTGCCTAATTTTGCTGCAGCTTTAGAATATTCTTCAGGCCTTTGGTTTCATGCCTGATGGCCTCTCCCTGAGTATGCTGACTTACGACAATCTGCTTTAATTCATTGCCTTTTTATTTTTGACTTTGAAACATGCACCTGGGTTCTAAGGAAAGATAAAAAATAGGGTAAAAGAAATATAAATAGGACCAACTTTTATATATGCATTAGTGTCTATTATACCTATTCCTAAGAAATCTGAAGTAACAGGTCTCTGTTTTTTCCTAGCAAAATTCAACATAAAGGTTCACATTTATTTGCCAGAAAGTAAAAAATAGAGTAGAATTACAATAGTGATCCAGCCTATAAAACCACTGGCATCAGAATACTCTCTAGTACCATAGGGCCTGATCCTGCTACAAGCCATTGCCTACAGCTTGTATTAATTTCAATAGAGTTTATAAGCAGAATATCTGCAGGGTATGGGCAGCGCTAGCTGAGTTCTTAATGACCATTTTTTGTTATCCTTTGATAGACAAACCTACTGTTCTCAATACTGGAAATTTCGCCCTGGGAAAAAGTAGAATCTGTCTCAAAATAAATGGATCACTTAGATCTTGTTCAGCTTAAGAAAATAATAAAAAAAATAATAATAAATAAACCACACCAACCTTTACTAGCATTTGCATTCAATTACATATGACATTACATGCAATATTTGGGGCCGGAACCTGCATTAGTCCATCCAGTTCCGGAAGAGGTGTGCTAGATTAAATTAACAGCTGGCAGAGGAAGGAGAGTAAAAGGCCTATATAGCAATAACATCCTCTTTGATATGATATTTGCCTTGGAGCTCACACAGAGAGAGATTTCATCTGTGCAGGAATATGTACCCCAGTCAGGGTATTTTATTGCTACAGGTAGAGAACATCTGCAGCTCTTCACACCCGTACAGGGCACATTCTGCCCAGGCACCCGCCCCTGCAAGCTCTTAACTTCAGAGGAGCATCTGCCATGGAACAAAAACTAGAAAAAAATAGAAAAACTAGAAAAGCAAGGTGGTACTATTGGGATGAACCTAGAATATCTGCCTTATTTTGAAGTCATAGCTGTTCTCAACACAAGACAGCAAGAGCCAAGGTATTTATATTCCACTTCCATCATATAGATGAGCATTATAAAGAAACAGTCTAGTGACTGGCCTTAGGTGGGGACAGGGACAGTAGCTGACTATCCACATGAAGCTGGCTCCTTCTAGTTCAGTGATCACAGTGTACATGATTTTTAACGAACTAGTATTTTACCTTTTTTTGTTGTATGGGAAAATAGTAACATCCGTTAGTTATTTTTGATCTAACAAAACATACAGTGGACAGGCAATACTATAATATCTCTGGGTTTATTTCTGACCAAGTCAAACACTTTATTTTATCAAATTGCCATTATGCTTGCGTTTCTGTGTTTTAACCTGGAGGTGCCAAAGGAACACACCTCTATAGCACTAGCGCTAACATACGGGAGTCTTCATCATGGCTGAGAGTTATAGTATAGGTAGATCCTCACTCCAAAAAAAATCATGAAAGAATTATAGTGTTTGTATTCAGTATTACAAGTCTCTCTCCCTCAACATTTCTCTCAACATACAATGAAGTTTGTCAAAAGTGTATCAAAAGACCTTTAAAGAAGGCAAAGAGTGACAGACACCGATATTTGCACGTACCTCCCTCGAGTCACAGTTTGCACTTCTGACCTTGGGGCAGCAACTTTGCGAAGTGGCTCTCTGGCCACATGCAGAGATATGCCCAGGAATACGTGTGCAGGAACATGCACTGTACCTGGGAATCCCTTGCTACCAGCTGAATGTTATATATTCCGAGTTACCTCACTGCACACACACACACACTCATCCACACACTCATTCGCACACAAACAGGATCTTTTGAAGACCATCTTCACCTGCATTTAACCACTTCATTTTTGAGTTGCCACATTTTCTCTCTTGATTACAATTAGCAGAGCTGCCGTTACACATAACCCAGTGCCAGGCAATTTCAGCAGTTTCTGTCAGGAGAAATGGACGTTCCTGAACCGAGGACAATGCAGGCAGTGAAAGAGGAGCAACTATTGCTTATTTCAAGATGAAAAACCTCTCCAATAACTGAAACTCCATTCACCAAAGGTGAGCTCTGGTGACATGTTCGCTCGCTGTCAAGGTTGAATTTATTTGTTTATGCCCCGAGCACAGCGAGCACACGTGGCAGAGGGATCCAACCCTCCACAGCCAGCCCAGCACGTCTGCACCCTCACCTAGATGGAGAAGAGGAATCCCTCCCTAGGCACTGAAGCCAGCAGCAGGGTGCCAGGCTGCTGACAGGCTTTGGTCGTGTTTGCTTGCCCGTTATAAGTGGGACTGAAGCCACCAGTTCATTTCACAGGGGTTGTTAAATAGCAAGTAGACATTAAGGATCACTAGTAACACAGCCAGGATCTCAACTAGCAATCTAGGTTCCCTGCTGCACCACCTGTTCGTAGTGTTTCAGTGCAAGTCTACACCATGCTACTCACCTCCACTGCTCACTTTTAAAATATACAGAACAAAATGTATACATTGGCAAACACATGTGAGAGTATATCCTTCGTGAATAATTAGCTTTAAGCAATAATTCCGCTTGCAACGTCTGAAGAGGGAATTAATGCAAGCTATCAAGGGAGTTTGGGACAGAGAACACACTTAGAAAACAAGTATTTTTAAAGATTGCACAGTCTAAGAAGCAATGATTTCACTGCGACGGAAGTAAATCACTGAGGAATCATCTGAATGCCACAGAAGAACCATGGGAGGGAAATGTTATTTGCTGTATGGAGTAACCATGCTGTGGATAGCAAGAATACTGTCATCCTTTACTGGAACCCTCATCATTCTGCAAAAACGTGCATCTTTTGTAGCCAGGGTGTTTAAGGCTGGGTTTTATGCACATGTCCCTTTCCTACACTTCAGATCAAAGAAACATTTGAGGCAAACTGATCATCACCTTGAGCCGGTATCTTGAGGGATAACAGTTCACAGTACAACTATGACAAAACACAGCACAAAAATGCTACAGGCAAACAGATGCATCTCCACTCCAAGAGAAAATGATTCTTTTCTAACACTCCTAATAAATTCATGTAATGTTTTGTACACATTGAAAATATTCCAAAGCATAGCTCAGTGTAAACAGCAACCTGGTTTCCTCCTGCTCTTTAGCATTTCTCTTTGTTTACTCTCCATTTGAGGATAGAAAAAGCCTACATGCGAGCACTGCAAATGGTGTATTTCAGGACTGATGGGGCATTGGCTAAGAGAATGATGAAATACAGACATATGTAGCCTCCAATAAAATAATATGTACTTTGCCTGAGTCACCAGGGTCAAACAAATCTAAAAAAAACCAATAAATCCAACATGTACTTTATTAATACTTCTTACTTGTATGTGTAAATTCTTACTTGTATGTGTAAAATAATCTGATGCCATGGTGATGGGCAGACTATATTAAGCTTAGAGAAACATGAGATGTGAGAGAGACATTCTGGGGTGTGTCTGGTCTCACTCCCACTGCCTTCTTGCTCCCCAACCCCACGTCTTAGCAGCAGAGACCCCATGGGAAAGTGCCCTGTCAGTGCTTCAGGAAGCAATGCCCAGGCAGACCAGTTCACCCATCACAAGGAGAGGCAGTTAGTTAGAGTCGCCAGCTCCCATCTGTGAGCCCAAATGGCTCTGCTCAGTCTCTGCTCAGCTTAGGAGGGCCCGGCACGCTCATTGGGTAAAAAACCAGCCCTTACCTTTGGCAATGAGCTCCTCCAGCTCTTGGTCGAATCCTTGTCGGTGGCATTTCCTCCAGAGCCCCATGTTGGTGGAGTTGTACTGTCTGTTGCACTCGTCGACTGCGCTCATGGCAAAGATCTGCCTCCTGTTTCTCGTCAAGAGGAGTTTCCCTTCCCAGCGGTCCAACCTAGACCTGCTGGCCCTGAGAGGCAGGTTGTTGTTGGAGTTATAAATGAAGCCAGGATCATTTCTCTTCGTAGTGATGCTCTTGCACCTCTCCCTGTGCTTCCTGGCATCAGTTTCGTACCAGTGGTCAGAGCAGATTGCCACAGCCAGCATGCCCAGGGCACACAGAGCTAAAGAGAGGCCAGCATAGAGCAGTAACCTTCCAGCAGCCATACCTCAGCCTCACAGAAACACCATGGACATCTTCACAATAGGCAAAGCCCTTGAGCGTGAGACCACACAGAAACCTCCAGAGCAGCTACTTGGTGTCACTTGGCAGAGACTGCCTCAAACATCCCCAGCTCTGTGGCTCACATCAACATTGCAGAGGGATGCTGAGAGCACTACAAAGTTCTGCCCTGGAGGCAGTCTTGGAGTCTCATCTGCCTCTTCTCCTCTGTAGAGGAGACCTGGTGAGGAGAAACACAGCCTTCCACCTCAAGTGGGAACAAGCCAGCGACGCACCTATACAACGATGTCCTGCTGCTCCTCTCACCAGGAGCACCCAAGCGATAGGGGTTGAAGGGATATATCCCCCTGAAGAGACCTGCAAGCTACGGCTGATCAGTCCATTAATCTCTTTCAATCTGGCCAGCTCGGAAATCCAGAAGAGATGGCTTTCAGATCAGCAGGCTCCCCACAGCATCATCGCAGGACAGAAAAGTTCAACAGCTAGACATCTCCGGCTTGCAAGCAGCTGGTTATCCCGGTTTCAGGAATGAGTCTCTTGCATTTTCTTTGTCAGTGGCTCAGCAAGAGCATCATCGTCTGGACGGTCGGTTGCTTGCTTGGGTTTAAAGCGGG